CTGCCTTTCTCTCTCTCTCTCTCTCTCTCTCTCTCTCTCTCTCTCTCTCTCTCTCTCTCTCTTTCTTTCTTTGAGATGAAATATTGATCTGTTACTCGGGCTGGAGTGCAGTGGTGCAATCTCGGCTCACTGCAACCTCCATCTCCCGGGTTCAACTGATTCTCCTGCCTCAGCCTCCCAAGTAGCTGGGATTACAGGCATGTGCCACCATGCTGGGCTAATTTTTGTGTTCTTAGTAGAGAGGCGGTTTCGCCTTGAGCCACCACACCTGGCCAGATGTAGTCTAGTTTCTATTACCAGCCTCAGGGAAAATGAAAGGTCAGAGTCAGGAGGCAGCAGAAGGTCAGAGATAAACTTTTGCTTCTGAGGCCTTGATTCTGGAGTATCTTTTCCTGAGCTCCTGCATGATCATGCTCACATAAAGCTCCTTGCTCCTTTGTTTCCCTTATCCCCATTCCCCATTCCCTTTTCTCTCTTTCTCAAATAAAATTCAGGACCTCACTTTCGAAAATGAATGAATAATCAAACATCATGACATCATCCTTATGGAGCTAGACTGTGGGATGCATTACAAGAATCTCAGTTATTCTGGCCTTCCTCCTGAGTTATATTTAAAATAAGTTTTTGTACACTTTGGCTATAATAGTGTTGCCTCTAAGATGTACCGTAATGTAATATAATTTCTACTTTTCCGTTTCCTTGTGCTACACCTCTCAGCTAGACCACAATCTTCCTTTGCCTGAAGAATGTTGTCAGGTAATTTAATATGTCAGAAAAATATGAATCTGTTTGTATTTGTATTTTTCACATACATATAATCGAGAGTAGTCCGTGCATTTATTCATCAAAACCTAATAGGATGCATATGTGTGGGTCTATTTATCGACTCTGATTCACTGATCTGTCTCTCTTTTTCTATGAAAATACCACCTCAGCTTGATTACTTTGGCCTTAATTCTTGAAATTTGGTACTGAGTCTTTTCAATTTGTTCTTATTTTTAAAGGTTGCTTTAATGATTCTAGGTTTTTTGCATTGTTATATAGATTTTAGAAACAGCTTGTTAGTTTCTATGTAAGAAAAAGTCTTTGGGAACCTCTGACACTCCATTGAAGCATAGATCAATTAGGGAAGAATTTCACATTTTAGAAATATGTACTTTTCTAATTCATGCACATAGCTCTCCATTTATTGATGTTTCCTTTGATTTCTCTGGGGAATCTTTGTAATTGTGAGTATAAAGGTCTTTCAAGACATTAAACATTTTTTTCTAAGTATTTTATATACTTCTCTCTGTGGTAAACAGTATAATTTTAGATTTTATTTTTGAGTTGTCTGATACTAGCATATAGAAAAACAACTGATTGTTGTATTTTGACTATGTACTTTGTATTCTTGCTAAGTTCACTGAATTCTGGTAGGTTATTTGTAGACTCCCTAGGATTCTCTACATAAATATCCCATCGTCTGCAAACAAACGTGGTTTTACTTCTTCCTTTCCAAGCTGACTTCCTTTCTTCCTTCTTTCTGTCTCTTGAAATTGTTTATTTGTTTATGTTTGCCTGATTTTATTAGCTCTAACCGCTTGTATAATGTTGAATTAAAGTGGCGATACCAGATATTTGTGATATTTTCCCCAAATTATGGAGTTAATAGTTCAATATTTCATCATGTATATTAACAGCAGTGGTTTTTGCAGTGATCACTATGAGGCTGAGGGAGTTTATTTCTGTTCCTAGTTTGCTATGAGTTTTTGTCATGAATGACTTTAATTTAGTCAGATGTTTTGATTCCTATATTAAGATAATCGTGTTGTTTTTCCTCCCTCATCTGTCAATGTAGTGAATTATCTGAGTGGTTTTCTGTTGTTAAATCAGTTTTGCATTCTGTGTATAAACTGTCCTTGGTCATGATATAATATTATTTTTATATACTGCAGGATTTGATTTTCTAATATTGTTAAGAACTTTTGCATCTATGTTTATAAGAAACATTTTCTGAAATTTTCTTATCTGGTTTGTCACATTTTGGTATCAGAGTGACCTCATAAAATAAGTTGGGAAATGTTCCCTTTTCTATTTTGTGAGGATTTTGGTTAGACTGATGTCTTTTCTCATTTAAATGTTGATAGAATTCACCATCTGAAATCATCTAGGACTGTATTCTTTATGGAAATGTTAGTTATTGTAAATTGAATTCCTTTAGTAGATACAGGGTATTCTGATTTAATATTACTTCCTGGGTCAATTTTGAAATTTGTCCTTTAATTTAAATTGACAAATTTACTGACATATAATTGTCCATATTTTTTATTATCCTTTTAATGTTTGAAGGATATGCAGTTATATTTCCTCTTTCATTCCTAATTGTAGGTATTTATATGTGTGTGATTGGTTTTCTTAGGGGTTTATTAATTAAATTACTCTTTCCAAAGGAATAATTTTTGGCTTTATTATTTTTTCTTTGTTTTCTATTTCATTGCTTTCTGGTTTTATCTTTATTGTTTTCTTTCTATGACTTAATTTGGTTCAATTTGATTTTTTCAGCATCCTAAGAAGAAATATAACTAATGTAATTTTTTTCTTTTCTGAATATTTAAAGTGAAAACTTCCTTCTAAACAATGTACCCCACAGATTTTGCTTTGTTGTGTTTTCTATTCTCATTCAGTTCAAAAGATTTTCTAATTTCACCTGTAATTTTATTAACAACAATTATCTTTTTAAAAAATGAAATCTGGGCATTTTCTAGATGTTCTTTTCTTACTGGTTTCTGATTTAAGGCCATTATTGGAGAACCTAGTCTATAAAACTCTAATCTTTTAAAATTTATTGAGACTTTTAAAGTCTGATATATGATCAATAGTGGTTCCATGTACAGTACACTGAAAAGGACGTGTATTCTGTACTTGCGCATTAGCTCAGGCTATTAAAAATACCTTAGAGCAGGTGGCTTAAATAAAAGAAATTTATTTTCTCACTCTTTTGGAGACTGGAAGTCCGAGATCAGGGTACCGTGATGGTTGGATTTTGGTAAGGGCCTTCTTCCTGGCTTGCAGATGGCTTTCGTTGCTGTGTGCTCACATGGTCTTTCTGTGGTACCTGTATGTGGAGACAGAAAGTGAACAAGCTCTCTATGTCTCTTCTTAAAGGGCATTAATCCCATCAGATCATGGATCTGCACTTACAACCTCCTCTAACCCTCTTTACTTCCAAAGGCCCATCTCCAAATACCATCTCATTGGGAGTGAGGTCTTCAATGTGAATTTGCAAGAGTACACTACACATTCAGTCATAACAACTTTTTATACATAATGCTTTGTAAATGCCAATTTGATCAACTTCTGATAATGCCATTACAAATGTATATTTTTTATCCTTACTGATCAGTCCATTTCTTTTATCAATTACTGAGATATTAGTGGCAAATCTTCAACTATGTTTATGGGTTTGTCTATTTTTTAAAATTCTTCAGTTTTTGCTTTTAATGCTCTACTAAGCACATTTTCATTTAATTCTGGGTGAATTAACCTACATATCAACATGAACTACTTATCTTTACTTTTCAATATATTCCTTGTCTCGAAATCTATTCTATCTGATGTTAATATAGACACACCAGTTTCTTAGGCTTAATGTTTATATTCAACACATCTACGTTTTTATATTAAAATATATCTCTGTAGACAACATATAATGGAGTCTTTTTTTTTTTAAGTCTAATGATCCTGAACTTTTAATTGGAATGTTTAGTTTACTTACATTTGTTGTAATAATTGTAATGAATATATTTGACTAACACTTTGCTATTTATTTTATTATTATTTTTTAACTTCTGTGTCCCTCTTTTAGTGACTTCTTTTGGATTAATCAAATGTGTTTTAGCATTTGTTATGGGTTAAATTGTGCCCTCCACCCATATTTATATGTTGGCATCTAATTCTCTGGTTCCTCAGAAGATACATTTATTTGGAAATAGGGTTCTTATTGATGCAATAAATTAAGATCAGGTCACATTGAGTACAGTGGGCCCCTAATTCAGTATAAACTGACATTCTTATAAAAAGAATGCCATAGGAAAAGATACACACGCCCACAGTAAGTGCACCAAGTGAAGATTGGAGTTAGGTTGCCACAAGCCGAAGATCTACCAGAAACTAAGAGAGAGTGCTGGAGCAGACCCTCCCCTGCTGCCTTTAAAGGAGAGATGGGCCCATCTGGCACCTTGATTTTAGACTCTGGACTCTACAACTGTGAACAAACAAAAATCTGTTGTTTAAGCCAGCCAATTTGTGGTACTTCATTATGATAGTCCTAGCTAGCCAGTACCTTATTCAATTTAATTTATTTTATTGCATTTTTAGCTATTTCTTATTATTTTTAAATGGTTATTCTAGGTATTAACATATGCATTATTAACTTATCTCAGTCTATCTATAAAGCTACATGACATCACATAAAATGTGAATAACCTTCCAGCACTATAATTTCGTTTGCCACCTCCTGTACTTTGTACTATTGTTGCCATATATTTTATTTTTGTGTATTATATAAAACTTGTAATGTAATATTGTTATGTTTACTGTACATAGTTAGCTGTCTTTTAAGTAAGTTAAGAGAAGAAAAAGAGTCACATATATTCATCCACACATTTGCCATTCATAATACTCTTCATATTTTTTAATAGATGTGGATTTCCCTGAATAACTTATTTTAGCATTTCTTACAGTACTATTCTACTACCCTTACATTCTTTCAACTTTCATTTATTTGAAAATGCCTGCTCCCCCTTTGCCTTCCACCATGACTGGAAGCTTTCTGAGGCCTCCCTGAAAGCAAAAGCCTTCCCCAAAAGCACTGCTTCCTGTACAGCCTGCAGGACCATAAGCCAATTAAACCTCTTTTCGTTATAAAGTACCCAGCCTCCAGTATTTCCTTATAACAGAGGAGACTGATTCAGGGCCTACAATGAAAAAATCTGCTATGAACATTTACATATAAGTATTCGGATGGAAATATGTTTTTATTTACTTTGAGAGGGGAATGGCTGGTCCTATGATGGGAGAATGTTTAACATCATAAGAAACTGTCAGTGCTCTACAGTGGTAACACCACCTTATACTTCAGTCAACCAGATGTGAGGGTTTGAGTTGCTCCAGTCCTCACCAGCCGTTGACATGGTAAGCCTTTTTAATCTTAACTGTTGTAATAGGCTATCATAGAATAGTGGTAGGCATCTCATTTTGCCTACATTATAATTTCCCTAATGAACAATAATTTTCAAAGTCTTTTTACGTGTTTATTTGTGGGTGTGTAGACAAAAAGGGAAATAAATACTGCCATTTACTCAACTCCTCATCTCCCATCTCTGGTATTAGGGTGCCAGATATTCATGAATTTGAATATTTTTCCTCTCAGAATGAATATTTTGATTCCTGATATTTATTTAATTTTAATATTTTAAATATAAAACATTAAAAATATTTTTTATTTAATATTTTTAATTTTAATATTTTAAAAATATTTATTTTATTATTTTTTGAGACAGAGTCTTGTTCTGTCACCCAGGCTGGAGTGTAATGGCATAATCTTGGCTCATTGCAACCTCCACCTCCCAGGTTCGAGTGATTCTCCTGCCTCAGCCTCCTGAGTAGCTGGGATTACAGGCGTATGCCATCACACCCAGCTAATTTTTTTATTTTTAGTAAAGACAGTTTCACCATGTTGGCCAGGGTGGTCTCAAACTCCTAATCTTAGGTGATCCACCTGCCTCACCCTCCCAAAGTGCTGGGATTACAGATGTGAACTACTGCACCCAACCTATAACTATATTTAAATGTAATTATATATTTGTATACATTGTGTACATGTTAATGTATTTGTATCTGTGTATTTATATGTGTGTGTATATTTATCTGTCTATCTATCTGAAAGTTGTTCATAGTTTTTCATTACTTGGTTGTTTTTCATTCTTGCTCTCTGTTTTGTTTGTTTGGCTTATTGTTTGTTTGTTTGTTTTTTGCATTAATTCAGCCAGTTTTGTTTCAGGATTAACCCTTCTTACTGACCATTCCATGGTGGAATGGCTGGGTCCAGGTGCTCAAATCCTGTGGGGAGACTTCCAAATGCTCTCAATGGCCTGGCTTTGCCTTCCCCGGGGCATCCTCATTCTTAGGTGTATTGTCCTCATATTATGACAGCTGGTTACCAGCAGCTCCAGGCTCAGAAGCAACCAGTCTATTGTATTGTCTCTTTCCATATAGATTATTTTTTTTTAAGTTCAATCCTGGAAGCGAAGTACCTTGACCTAGTTCAGATCTCATGCTCATGACAGAATACAGGCACGGTGGCTCACGCCTAGAATCCCAGCACTTTGGGAGGCCAAGGCAGGAGTATCACCTGAGGTCAGGAGTTTGAGACCAGCCTGGCCAACATGGTGAAACCCCATCTCTATTAAAATTCAAAACTTGTCCAGGTGTAATGGCACATGCCTGTAATCCCAGCTACGGGGAGTCTGAGGCAGGGGAATCACTTGAACCGGGAGGTGAGGGCTGCCGTGAGCCAAGATCCCACCTCAACACCTGGACAGAGTATGGGCTGGTTGGTCTCTAAAGTAAAACTGAGGGGCACGTACCAAGGAATGCAGGCTGTATGGAAAACAGGTGAAAACTACAGGTGTTCATGACTTTTAGCTTTTTTTTCTTTTTAACAAAATATCTGGATTTCTTCTGAATAAGTAAACAAAATGAGGTCTGGCCATATTAAATAGCTCAGTCTCATTCTATTCTGATAGCTTCCTCAAAAAACAGCTTGTGTTTTATCTTTATTCTCCTTGCGTATAACACAATTACTAACCTACTGTAAGCATTCCCTATATTTGTTCAGTCAAAATACAGTCGTTCTTTAGTGTCTGTGGGGGATTGGTTCTGGGACCTCCCACGAATACCCAAATCCACAGATGCTCAAGTCCCTTAAATGCAAATTCTACACCATTATAAATGATGTCTTTTTCTGTTTTTATTTGCGGGTGTGTAGACAAAAGGGAAAATGTTATAGTGTTTGCACATAACCTACGCGTATCCTCCCATATCCTTTAAATCATCTCTAGATTACTTATAATACCTAACACAATGCAAATGCTATGTAAATAATGATTATGCTATATTGTTTAGGGAATAATGACAAGAAAAAAAGTCTGCATATAAACAGTACAGACAAATTTTTTCAAACATGTTTTGACCCTTGGTTGGTTGAATCCACGGATACAGGATGCACCCACATGGAGGAGGATCAACTGTTATCTCATTTAAAAAAAGCGACTAGACGTGGTGGCTTACACCTGTAGTCCCAGCACTTTGGGAGGCAGAGGTGGGTGGATCATTCAAGGTGAAGAGTTCAAGACCAACCTGGCCAACATGGTGAAACCTCTGTTAAAAATACAAAAATTAGCTGGGCATGGTGGTGCGCACCTGTAATCCTGGCTACTCTGGATGCTGAGGCAGGAGAATCACTTGAACCCGGGAGGTGGAGGTTGTAGCCGAGATGGTGCCACTGTACTCCAGCCTGAGCGACAGTGAGATGCCATCTCAAATAAAATTAAAAAAAAAAAAAAAAAATCTTTACTAGAATTGGCCACAAGATGTCCCCACAGCATTAAAAGATACTTTTTCTATCTAGACAGGCTTTTCATATTTCAATTGATTGTATGCCCATAAGAAATCAGTTATTAAAAGTTCAGAGTAGTAGACATCTTCAAACCAGAGTTCAAGTACCAAATGTTCATTTATCCTTTAAAGGTCCATATTAAACTACGGTTTTCCTAAATTGTGGGGATTCTTTGAGGACAACTTGAATTCCTTTTTGTTGTTTCTTTGTTTTTGTTTTTCTTTTTTGAGACAGAATCTCGCTTTAGTCACCCCAGCTGGAGTGCAATGGTGCGATCTTGGCTCACTGCAACCTTCACCTCCCGGGTTCAAGTGATTCTCCTGCCTCAGCCTCCCAAGTAGCTGGGATTACAGGTGCATGCCACCATGCTCGGCCATTTGTATTTTTAGTAGAGGCGGGTTTCACCATGTTGTCCAGGATTGTCTCGAATTCCTGACCACAGGTGATCCACCCACCTCTGCCTCCCAAAGTGCTGGGATTACAGGCGTGAGCTGCTATGCCCAGCCTTGAATTCTTAAGCGAGCAGAAAATGCTATTGCTGTCACATGGTGTTTACAGCATTATAACTGTTTGTAAAAGCTAATTAAAAGGAAAGAAGGGTGAAAGAAAAGTATTTCCATTCAAAGTTTACTGCAAGATAAGAGAGGAATATAAATATTGTATTTGTTTTGTTATAAACATGAACTCTGGAGACTACTGAGTGAGTCTAGACTGCATTATGGAGGCTTCCATCACATTTGCAAAACACATCTAAATTGGGGTTACTCTGAGATGCCAGCAAGGATTGGTTCTTTTCCCTGCAGGTACATCACAGACACTCAAATCATCACAGGCAGTCTAACTTCTTGCTTCAAGGATCCCTTAAGTGGAAAACATTCTGGAAATACCCTCTAAACATCATGCATATTTGAGTTGGTGGGGCAAAAACAGATAGGCTAGAAGGACTGAAAGGTTCTAGAGGCAAATGTTTTATAAAGACTTACAGGAGAAAAAGAACTTTGTTGTTGTTACCGTTGACTTAGAAAGTTTTCTTTTTAAAAAACTGCTTTTGATTTAATTACTGAGTAAGAGTATCATTACAGAAAATATAGTTATCCCCCCTTATCTGGGGGGAATATGTTCCAGGCACACTAGTAGATGCCTGAAACCATGAATAGTACTGAACCCCATATATACAACTATGGTATACTATGTATACTACTGTATGCTTTTCTCTTATGCATGCACACTTATGATAAAGTTTAACTTATAAATTAGGCACAATAAGAAATTAACAACCATAGCTAATAAAATAGAATGATTATAACAATGTACTGTAATAACACATATATGAACCTGTTGTCTCTCTCTGTTATCATATCTTATTGTACTGTACTTACCTATTTTTGGACTGCAGTTGACTGTGGGTAACAGAAACCATGAACAGTGAAACTGTGGATAGGAGAGGAGACTACTGTGTAGGTACATGTTGACTGAGTCTCTCTTTTAAAACGGACAGGATAAGTGATATGGTTTGGATCTGTGTCCTCACCAAATCTCATGTTGAATTGTAATCCCCAGTGTTGGAGGTGGGGCCTGGTAGGAGGGGATGGGATCATGAAGGTGAATTTCTCATGAATGCTTTAGTACCATCCCCTTGGTGCTATTCTCATGATGGTGAGTTCTCACCATATCTTGTTTACATGTCTGCAGCACCGTCCCCCCCTCGCCCCTGCTCCTGCCATGTAAGACATACATGCTTCCTTTTCACCTTCTGCCATGATCGCAGTTTCCAGCGGCCTCCCTCAGAAGCTGAGCAGATGCCAGCACCATGCTTCCTGAACAGCCTGTGGAACTGGGAGCCAATGAAACTTCTTTTCTTTATAAATCACCCAGTTTCAGATATTTCTTTATAGCAATGTGAGAACAAACTGATAGGGTGAGAGAGTTAAATGTTCTTCTTATTTTTTTTAATCCACTGACAAGCAGTGTCATGGATTGATATGTGTCCCCTGGTAAATTCCTATGTTGAGGTCCTAACTTCCAGTACCTCACATGATGACCTTTTTTGGAACTAGGGTCATTGCAGGTGTAATTGGTTAAGGTGAGGTCATATTGGAGTAGGGTGGGCTCTTAATCCAATATGACTGGTGTTCTTATGAAAAGGGGAAATTTGGACACAGACATGCACCCAGGGAGAATGCCATGGGAAGATGTATTATTCAGCCTCAAGCCAGGGAACTACCAGAAGCTAGGAGGGAGGTCTAAGAGAGATTCTTTCCTAACATCTTCAGAAGGAACCAACTCTGCCAATGCCTTGATCTCCAGGACTATGAGAGTGCATTTCTGCTGTTCAGCATAAGTTTGCAGTACTTTGTTATGGCAGCCCTAGCAAAGTAATGCAGGCAGCAATTGACTTAAGGAACTGGTTAATGTTCAAAATAAAACATAAACAGTATGTCGATCGATTATGTTGCTAGTTACCTATCTTTTAATTGATAGACATCCTCATTTGGTATTTAGCCATTAAGTAGCCATGATTTTAATTTAATATTTCCCTGGGAAGCATACATTATATAATTTTCTCTAGAGTCATAAGTAGATTTGAGTTTCCAACTCTACTAATTAATATAATTTTAGAATCATCCAGGATATCCACTCTTTTGATAGATGAGGAAATTAAGGTGGAGAGGTTTCAGGACAATGCTTATCTGTGTCAGAGTTTTCTGTCCTCTAGAAGTAAAATGGGGAAACTTTGCATATCTCCTTCATTTTGACTATTTGCCTCATAACCGAAGGTTAGAGTTTTTAGTCATGGAGGGAAACAGACATAGCCTGGGTACGTTTGAAATGTGAGTGACATGGTTTGGCTCTGCATCCCCAACCAAATCTCACCTTGAATTGTAGTAATCCCCATGTGTTATGAGAGAGACCAGGTGGGAGGTAATTGACTCATGGGGGCAGGATTTTCCCATGCTGTTCTTGTGATAGTGAATAAGTCTCAGGAGATCTGATGATTTTATAAAGGGGAGTTCCCCTGTACAAGCTCCCTCTTTCCTGCTGCCATGTATGACATCCCTTGCTCTTCCGCCATGATGGTGAGGCCTTCCCAGCCATGCGGAACTGTGCATCAATTAAACTTCTTTCATTGATACATTACCCAGTCTTGGGTATGTCTTTATTAGCAGTGTGAGAACAGACTAATACAGTGACTGCGCCATGAGTGCTATGACAAAGTATAGATGAAAGAAGATCCAGAAACCCTGGAACCAAGCTTTTATCCGTGACTCACCTGGAGGCAGCTCAGAGCTTCTTTACTGTCATCCGTCTCTCTGTGTTTGGTCTTTTTCCCTGATCTAAGAGTAGATTAAATTCTCTTTGAGTCAGGCATGGTGGCTCAAGCCTGTAATCCCAGCACTTTAGGAGGCTGAGGTGGGCGGATCACGAGGTCAAGATATCAAGACCATCCTGGCCAGTATGGTGAAACCCCATCTCTACTAAAACTACAAAAATTAGTTGGGCATGGTGGTGTGCGCCTGTAGTCCCAGCTACTCATGGGACTGAGGCAGGAGAATCGCTTGAACCTGGGAAGCGGAGGCTGCAGTGAGCTGAGACTGAACCACTGCATTCCAGCCCGGTGACAGAGTGAGACTCCATCTCAAAAAGCAAAAAACGCCCGCAACTCTTTTTGCCCAAGTTCCAGCCCCTCTCAAGTCTTCCCTTCCATGTATATGTTCATTCCACTCTCCTCTGCCTCTGCTCTGCTGCCTCCACCTTTTTGCTTTGCTCAGTCCTACGTTTGTTACCAATTGAATCGTGCCCTCCAAAATTCATACGTTGAAGTCCTAAACCCAGTCCCTCAGAATGTGACTGTATTTGGATAAGTTATTCAAAGAGGTAATCAAGGTAAAAGGAGACCACTAGGGTGGGCCCTGATCCCATATGACTGATGTCTTTAGAATAAGAGGTTAAGACACAGACACACTCAGAGGGAAGCCCGTGTGATGACAAAGGGAGAAGATGGCTATCCACAAGCCCCCGCGAGAGACCTCCGAAGGAAGGTACCTGCCCACAGCTTGATCTTAGACTTCTACTGTCTGAGAAAATTAATTTCTGTTGTTTTATGCGACTCAGCCTCTGGTACTTTGTTATGACCCCCCAAATGCATGAATACAACTTCCTTGAAGACCCAATCAGCTTTTGACAGACATATTATTTCCCACTCACTCAGGATGTAGCAGATATCAGACAATTTTTATTTTGACTCTTACAGACTTTATCCCCGGTTCCAAGCCACGGACCTTCAAAGTGCACTGTTGTTGGTAGAGGTAAATCATAAGAAAAACACAAGATTTCTCACACACACACACACACACACACGCACACTCACACACACACAATCTTCAATATAGCTGAGTTTGTTATTGGACTCTGTTTCCAGCTAACATGGAAGAAGTAATCATTGTAAGCTCAGTGCTTTTCATCTTTTCTGGAGTCTGGAGCTGGGCCTGGAGTCCCAAGTTCCTAAGCATCATCACCTGGTCCCTTCCCAACAGGTAATTAATTATGGCACCTTTTTATCACAGGAAATGTGATAAACCCACTTATTATTCCCTAATGATAGGCAATAAGCATTGTTGGAAGCAGGCTATTTATCCACCCAGGTTATATATTTCCACGATAGCAGGAGTTTTCTGGAAGCCAGGTTTTAATGCAGATGGACTACTTTAATTTTAAGAGTTGTGGCAGAACCAGGGGGGTGTGGTTTATCCCGTGAGGTCTCTCAGTGTCTCCAAGCACAAGGGTGTCTTGAAGGGACCAGGCATACCATCTTGCCTTCTGAAAAACTACTGATGGCCTGAGGTTGTTGTAAGAAGTAGAATAATGATCCTCCAAAGATGTCCACATCCTGATCTGGAACCTGTGAATATGTTACTTTACATGGCAACAGGAGCTTTGCAGGGGGAATTAAGCTAATGCTCTTGAGTTGGGAGAAGATTCTGAATTATCTGGATCAACCCAATGTGAACCCAAGCATCTCTATAAGTGAAGGTGGGAGCAGGAGGCCAGGAGCAAGAGATGTGATTGATGATGGAGCGAAGATCAGAGTGATGTGCTGAAGAATGCAGGTGGCCTCTGGAAGCTGGAAAAGGAAAGGATCGGTTTTCTCCTGGAATCTCTAGAAGGAATGCAGATCTGCCCATACCTTGATTTAAGTCCGTAAAACCCATTTCTGACTTCTGATCTCCAGAATGGTGAGATGATAAATTTGTGTTGTTTTAAACCACTAAGGTTGTGGTGGCTTGTTACAGAAGCAACAGGAAACTAACACAGATGTCCAGGAACCTGGTTGCTCAGCTGTGCCTCTGCAATTACAGGACTTCTAAAACCTGAGCAATGTGGGACCCTAGAACCCCAAGAAGCTTCTCTCCACAGCCCAGTCCCCAGTGCATTCAGTTTAGCTCTTGGCACCCTGGGAAGACATTTTCTGTTTTGTGAATGCTTAGAAAAAGCATTTGATTAATCTGATCTAATCGTCTGATCTTTCTAGTTATCTAATAAATCAAACCAGAGCAAACTGGTGTGCTGCCCCCTTGATCTGATTATTGGACTAAATTGATTGATTAATTTGGTAAATGAATTCATAGTGATGCATGAATGGCTGTCAGTGCCTAAATGAATTACCTCATTTAGAAATTATTAGGTTCTTTTTTTGTTTTGTTTTTACTTTACAAAACTTTAGGATAAAATGTAAGGCACAAGACCAGCTGGGGAGCTCTGTGATTGTTTTGTTTTTGCTGTTGAGGAGGAGTGAGGATGTGGAAGCCGCATCAAGAGGAGTGGGGAGAATCGAGCAACCACTGGCCCGACTCACTCACAAGACTCCAACAGAAGAAACAGGTGGTGGAAGAAGACATGATGCTGAAACTCAGGGTGACCAGCCCTAAGGTCCTGGATTTTACTCACTTCAGTGAATTTTTAAGACGCTTGTTTGGATTCTATTCTTGGGCAGAGATGCATCAAAACTCCATGTACATGATAAATATACTCTGGACAACAAGTGAAATTTCTACTTAGGCCCACCCAACACATCTGGGCCTGTACATTTCACTGCCAGTGGGCCTGGCTGGTACCTACATGAGGGACATGACGTTGGGGGGAACTACTGTGAGGTAGTCACTGCCTGTCCTGGGATGCTTACTCCAACCTCTGGCCACCAGTTTTTGACCTCTAGGCATATGATTAGAGGTGATGCATGCAAAGTGGTAGTGATGAAAGTGATGGTGATGATATTAATCTCACTGGCGCTAGTGAGACAGCCACATCCCTGAAGAGATGTTAACTGGTTCTCTCCCATTTTCAAATTCTTTCCTGCCTCCTTTCTTTTTTATTTTCAATTTAGAGACAGAGGCTTCCTCTGTCACCCAGGCTAGAGTGCAGTGGCACCACCCTAGCTCACGGTAACCTCAGACTGTTGGGCTCGAAGGATTTTCCGGCCTCAGTCTCCCAAGTAGCTAGGACTACAGGAGAGTGTAACCATGCCTGGTTAATATTTCAATTAATTTTTTTTTTTTTTGGTTAGAGATGGGGTCTTGCTGTGTCGTCCAGGCTGGTCTCAAACTCCTAGGCGCAAGAGACAGTCCTTCTTTGGCCTCCCAAAGTGCTGGAATTACAGGCATGAGCTGCCACACCTAACCTCTGCTCCCTCTCTTTTGCTCATTCTTTCTTCATTTTCCCATCTCTTTTCAAGCAAACCACTGCCTTTCCATATCTTTCAGGTTCAACTATTTCCAGAGTACCAACTAACTTCAGGCTAAAATCCAAACTGACAAATGTTACAGCAGAAACATCTTTGAACCACTCAGAAGCCTGTATTTTTCTCACATAAAACCTTGGGGAGGGGTCTCTTGGTGCAGCTCTGTTTGTTATATGTGTATAAATGAGAGTCCAAAAAAGGACAGGCCCTCCCTCAGCATATCTATATTGGCAGGGGTGTAGGCAGCAGCAATAAAAACATGCAAAGGTATGATTCTGGCTGCCACGTGAGTGCCCCCTTGATCCCATCCAACGTCTTCCATCAAGTCACGTGAGCATGGTAGACTATGGTCTTGCAAGTCCTGTTCCTTTTGGCCCTTGTCCAACAGAGAGCCAAGGATGCAGAGCTGGACTAAACTTGAGTAGATCTGTGCATAGGTGGAGTTAGGAGGAGATGGTCTTGCAGAGTCTCCCAAA